GTAGCAGCCTGCGCCATGCCCGTCATGAAAGGCTGGAACATCCTCACCAACTCAGAGAAAACACAAAAAGCCAGGTAAAAACTGTAGTGGTCTCTGGTTCTAGCTTAATGTTATTCAAACTTTGGGCACACTTTGAAAACAACAAGTCAAACTAAGGAAAACTAAAGGCGTGTATTCATGTGTTTGTGTCTCATCAGAGAGGGAGTAATGGAGTTCCTGTTGGCCAACCACCCACTGGACTGCCCTATTTGTGATCAGGGAGGAGAGTGTGACCTGCAGGTAACCTTGCAGAAGTGTAATTTAAGTTATTCTCATGAGTGCATTTAGATCAAAGGATCAGCTTTTTTCCCGTCTTTTTCTCCTCTTTTCTCAGGATCAGTCCATGCAGTTCGGTTCAGACCGCAGCCGCTTCTCAGAAGGAAAGAGAGCAGTGGAGGACAAAAACATCGGGCCTCTCATTAAAACCATCATGACCCGCTGCATCCAGTGCACGCGCTGCGTCCGGTGAGTGTCATGTACACGTCAGTCACGAATAATGTAATAATGTGGCATTAACAGCGATGTAATGTGGCAAAAGACACGTTACATTCATGGAAGGTCCACAATTCCTTTATAATTGTGTTTTAAACTACCTAGAAACCGAACATGAGGACATAATAAAGACCGATAACACACTTATTTTTCTAACACGCACACATACATGCACAGTGCTAGACATCAATGTGTGCTTCAAGAGGGAAAGGTCACAGTAATTAAAGAAAATATTGCACTTCTGTAATAAAGGGTGAATAAATAACTAAAAGCAGTGTTGAAAGATTTGATGTACAGTGATTAAAACCAGTTCATGCTTTGATGGAGCTGTAACATTTGCATGGAGGTGGATATTCAAACAGCTTGCCCTGCCTGCGTGTGTTTGTAGTTTTGCAAGCGAGATTGCCGGCGTTGAAGACCTGGGAACGACAGGAAGAGGAAACGACTTGCAGATCGGGACGTACGTGGAGAAGATGTTCATGTCGGAGCTGTCGGGCAACGTTATCGATATCTGTCCTGTGGGGGCGCTCACCTCCAAGCCCTACGCCTTCACTGCAAGACCGTGGGAGACTAGGTAGGAAAGGGTCTGATGCTCGATTGTATTTAACACGAGTTCTCTTGAACTTCCCGGAGCAGTTTTACGTCATGTTGTTCCGCCGTCTTTGCAGGAAAACCGAGTCAATCGATGTGTTGGACGCTGTCGGTAGCAATATTGTTGTGAGCACACGTGGAGGCGAGGTGATGAGGATACTGCCCAGGCTCCACGATGACATCAATGAGGAATGGATTTCTGATAAGACCAGGTAATACAGAACTGGAAATAAAGTCTCACACTTTATAATCATCTTTAAAACAGTTGGGTGTGTTTTTGTTTTAAATATATATACGTATTCCACTGTATCTGAACTAAACTGTATCTGCAGGTTTGCATATGATGGGTTGAAGAGGCAGAGGCTGACCCAACCAATGGTGAAGGATGAATCAGGTCAGCTGACCCCGACCACCTGGGAGGACGCTCTCACTCGTGTTGCTGGAGCAGTAAGTGCTTTTGCTTCTTTGTTGGCTCTTGCTTGGTAATTAAATTATTCATAATTAAATTCTGGGAAATTTTAAGGTTTGTTGTTGTTTGTCGTCAGGAAGTTTGGGGCTGTCGTCATGCATAAATGTTTGTGTTTGTGCAGCTGCAGAGCGTGCAGGGGAGTGAGGTGGCAGCCATAGTGGGAGGGATGGCGGACGCTGAAGCTCTGGTCGCCCTCAAAGATCTCCTCAACAGACTCAACTCAGAAAACCTGTGCACCGAGGAGCTGTTCCCCATGGCAGGTGCAGGGTAAGGAAGAGCCTCCCATCATCCCTTAGGTGCTAAAATACATGGCTTTATTAGCTGACAGTGTTATTTTTTACTTCTTTTTTTGCTTTCTGCAGAACTGACCTGCGTTCCAACTACCTGCTAAACTCTCGCATTGCTGGCATTGAGGACTGTGACCTGCTGCTGCTCGTGGGAACGAACCCTCGCTATGAAGCCCCCCTGTTCAATGCCAGAATCCGCAAGAGGTAAACACATATCACAGTTAACGGTTTGTTATTTAAGTCTAAGTTTTAAGTTGTTTGTTTGTTTTTTAAAGTTTTGTAATTGTTATCGTCTCACTCCGTCAGCTGGCTCCATAATGAGCTGCAGATTGCTACGGTGGGCCACAAGGTTGACCTGAGTTACACGTACGATCACCTAGGAGAAGACACTTCAGTCCTGAAGCAGCTGGCCAATGGCACACATGCTTTCTGCAAGGTAATGGGCACGCACGTCGTCCAGTGAGATTCAAAATGGTAAATGGCCTTAAACGCTTGAATATATAGAGAATGAACTCCAACAATCAGATTGCCCGCTATGAGTGAGCGCTTGAAGACAGTGGGAAGGAAAAACTCCCTTTTAACAGGAAGAAACCTCCAGCAGAACCGGGCTCAGGCAGGGGCAGTCATTTCCAGACTGAATATCTTTTTTTCCGTTCTCTCCTGGCAGGTCCTTTCAGCTGCCAAGCGTCCAGTTGTGGTTGTGGGCAGCGGCGCTCTGCAAAGAGAAGATGGAGTTGCAATTTTGAGCGCCGTCTCCACCATTGCTCAGAACGCTCGAGCCAGCAGCGGAGTGGAGGGCAGCTGGAAAGTCCTTAACGTCCTGCACAGGTACAGCTAAGCAGCTGATTTCAAGTAACCCTAATGCAATGAGATACAGTAGATGCTCATACTGTGTGTGTGTGTGTGTGTGTGTCTGTGTGTGTGTGTGTCTGTGTGTGTGTGTGAGAGCAGGGTGGCGAGTCAAGTGGCTGCCCTCGATCTAGGCTACAAGGCCGGAGTGGACGCCATCAGGAAGAATCCGCCTAAAGTGCTTTTCCTGCTGGGAGCTGATGCGGGCTGCATCAGCAGAGCTGACCTGCCCAAAGACAGCCTCATCATCTACCAGGGTATACACGCACGCACGCACACACACACACACACACACACACACACACACACACACAGATTTGACAAACCAAATGCTGCTAATCTGGGGACATGAATGAACATCAATTTGCAACCCCTTCAGGTCATCACGGTGACGTAGGAGCACCGATGGCAGACATCATCCTACCCAGTGCTGCATACACGGAGAAAAATGGCACTTATGTCAACACTGAAGGCAGGAGCCAGCACACCAAGATAGCCGTCACTGCTCCTGGAGTCGCCAGAGAGGACTGGAAGATCATCAGAGCTTTGTCTGAAGTAAGCAGGAAGTGTTTTGAATATTCCGTACTGATGTTCACTATTAACACGAAACCAGTCATCTTAACGTCTCTGTGCGTTTTCAGCTGACGGGTGTAACGCTGCCCTACGACTCCTTAGATGAGATCCGATCCAGGCTAGCCGAAGTCTCTCCTAACCTGGTCCGTTACGACGATGTAGAGGAGGCGAACTACTTTAAACAAGCCAATGAGCTCGCTATGGTACAGAAACACTCACAGTTAGTTGGTCTGCCTCTGATTTACCTGACAACTTGATTCAGCTGTTTATCTCCTCACTCTGTTCCTCTCAGACTGTGAACCAGGAGCTCTTAGCAGCTCCTCTGGTGCCGCCTCAGCTTACAGTAAAGGACTTCTACATGACAGGTACGTTTGTTTACTTATTTTTTTATATATATAATAGCTATTTTTTTTCTCTCAAAATAATGTGCAAGCAAATATGTATCATAATCTGTGCTGCTTCGTTCTGTCTTCAGACTCTATCAGCAGGGCTTCCCAAACAATGGCGAAGTGCGTCAAAGCCGTCACAGAAGGAGCCGCCGCCGTCGACGAGCCATCTGTTTGCTGAACACTTGATATGACGACAGCTCTGCCTTTTTCCCCTGAAGCAACACACATCTCTGAACTTTGTCTTGAAGTCGCCCTCAATGCTTGTGTATACTGTTGAATCGTTTTCGCCGCTGAGAACCAGCTTTGTGGAATAAATCTGAGAAACATACAAAATATAAATAAAATCCTAAAAACGTCTTTACTCCGGTTTTAAGGTGTTTTTTTTCCTCCATTGCATCATTTTAATAACATTCAAATTATATCACTTATGACGCCTTCCAAATGCTTTAAAATCAAACGAGTCCTCATATTCTTCACTTTATTTTTGCAATGTATGTTTTTTAAAATATGTATTATATTACTAGACTCTAGAAATGAAGTAATAAGTCAGAATTTGGACTCCTGTAGGAGCTCTGCATGTTCTGAGTTTAAAATAATCCTTATTAACACTGAGCTGCAGTGCAGCTCCTCATTTGATCCACTGTTGGAAACAAGTTTTAGCTCCTCTCCCTTCCTTTCTTCTGACTGGCTGCCCCTCACAAACAAAAGACTGCAGGTGCTGTGACTGAGATGACCATATAAGGACGTCCTATCTCTATGGCATGTAGATCCAAGTGCACAAAACAATATGTGAAGCCTGAGCTTTTGACTCACAGAGTGACTTCATGTTTTATATGAGCATCCAGCATTGAAGCAGTATAGTAACGCATGGCAGAAGGTAACGAAAAGCACGATGGGTTTCACACCTTCCTTCTGAAATGTAGCTGTTTAAAAGTTTTTTAATATTCATTCTATAACAAACAGAAAAATAAACTCTAAGAAACACTTGAGCTCCAAAATATGCTCTCGGCCCAGTTGACATTCTGAAATTGAAGTATGTGCACTCAGAGCCACTCACCTGAGTCTCAAAGTTATTATAGTGAGGCTTGAGATTATTCTGGACTCTGGGTCGATAGCTGGTGTCAAAGAACTTCTGTAGATAGAGGCGAGCTTTTGATGTGATTAAGTAGTTAAAGGAGTGCCTGTGTGTTTGTTCTCAATGGATCCAAAATAGGATGTGCGCTCGGAGTTGGACGCCATTCCCACAGACAAATGGCTCCTGTCATATGCAGTTACCTAAGAGAGAGAGGGGGGGGGGGGGGGGGGGGGAGACACAGGAGAGAAGAGGAGACAGTCTCATCTCTCCACTCTCTGTCTGCTCAGTGTCTAAGACCAAGCAACGGGTTCATTTATTGTTTTTTACTACTCCCCATATCTGGAGTTTATTTTCACTTTATGGTCAGTACTATGGCAGTAGTAAGTCTTCTATTCAGTTTCTAGCTTCATTGTTCGTGCTCTTTCTCAGTTCTTTGAGACTGTGTGCAGTTTTTATTATTTTTACATTTACTTTTCTTTTGTCTCCCAAAGCTGGCTCAGCATACTCTGCTCCTCCCTGCAGGGCATCAATCGGGGACAAACAGCAGGGCACATGCTGGACTAATTTTGGCTACAACAGGAAAATGGTTCCAGTTAAACTTCTCATTCTGGGAGCTCAGAACACTGGGAAAACAGGTAAGCTGGAGACAAAGCAGCTGAAAACCACAGGCACGCAGAGAGGGGGACGTGCTTTTTAAGTTCTGAATCAGATAACATCTCAGCAGTGCATGAAAGAGGTTAAGTTTAGGGTTAACTGCGAGCCACGGTTTAAAGGTTTTTGCTAAAAATGGAAAAGCTAGAGTGTTTATCTTTCATAGCACTGACATGTACCTCCATCACCTCCACTGCTATGTTTTGAATGTCATATAGGTCTGCTACTTTTGTCCAGCTCTAAAAATAGCTCGTCTTCAGTTGAGTGTATTAGACAAACTTGTTGCTTCATTTCAAATGTTTGTGCGCTCGACTATGAGCTCAGCTGCTTTCATGCACTGAGAAGACAGATTCATGGCACAGTTATAGAGACATTACAACACACCCATAACATTTTAATATTACACATATTCCTACGAAAATAACTGAGGAAACATAAGACGTGTGATGAGTAAAAGTTATCATACATTCTTACAGTATAATGACTAATGCGAATAGCAAACTACAAAAATAGCAATGCCAGATTTAGCTGTCGGCACTTTGTCAATGGTTTAAAGGCTCACACATCAAATTCCATTAATTTCCTTCATATTAGAAGGACCAGAGTAAATTTCAGGGAACAAACCATCTATGCACAATGTCAACAAAGTCTGCATGCTGGGATTTGATTGTGACAGTGGTGGGCAGCATGCCTGAAAATAAACTCAGTGTTTTTCCAGGTGTAAAGGCTCAAGTGATGATTTAAACAAGCGTGTTTAACCTTTTAATGTATCCTGATAAAATACAGCAAGGCCTTAAATAGCAGACATGAAAGTCAAACAGACACAAGCCTTTGGGCTCTTTCCACCCAAACACAAAGGAAGCACTTGTGCATTTATTTAAATAAAGTCACAAAGAGGGTCGTTCTGAAGGCAACACTCACATAAGGAGGCATGACGTGAGCACGGGATGCTTTAGATCAGATTCAAATGACTAAAAGGAACTTTGTGTGTGTGCGACTGTGCAGAATGTGTTAGAAATATGCTTCTCGCCTTCAGCCACTGCGTCTGTTTTGTGTCTCCAGCGCTGTGTGTTCGTTTCATAACCAAGCGATTTATTGGTGAATACGACCATAAAAAGGGTAAGACCTGGGTAAATATTTTTGCATTGCTGACAGTAAACATTACATAACTTACCTGAGTTCTTCACTGGCAGGATTTTTGAAAGTGACACAGTTCTCTGTGTGTGTGTGTCTGTGTGTGTGTTCTTCAGAGATGACCTACAAATGCAGCCGGGTGGTGGATCAGGAAGCTGTCGATCTGGAGATTCTGGACTTAACTTGGAAGGTAAATATTGACTTTTATTTGTAGTTTTTTAAAAGGCTACACTTTTGCTGTGTCCAAATTATTTGTCATGTTTTTCAAATCAAAGCATTTATTTTGCAAAATTTTCAAATGTTTTTTGTTCTGCCACGTAAAAGCCAACTTTAGAGGGGGGTTTGTTGTTGCTGTTTTTAAATAATTTGCAAACAAGTTTTTGTATGGAGGGTCACAAGTGCCAAAATAGATTAACTAATTGCATCATTAAATAATTAATTGACTATGTCAGTAATTAAAGTTGAAATTATTTTATAAATATGTAATTAATTAATTAAATAGCAATTCATTTCTTTTAAAACTTCAGAAAAATGTTTTATTTATTTCCTATTTTAATTAATTCACTCAATGTTAAATTAATTATTTAATGTTGTGTTAGTTCATTCATTTTGTCACTCACAGTCCTCCACAGTCTGCAGTGTAGTTGGACAAGTAATGCCATTTGTTTCAGTTGTTACACCCATTACACTTCTTGCTTGTTTCCTAATTCCAGTACCAGTAGGTAGTTCAGTTTCCAGCTCCTGCATCTGTATGTTGTGCTTGGGAAAGATCCTCTTTGTGGGTGTGCATGAGTGATAAAATAAAAATACCTGTGGATGCAGCTTGGAGTGTAAAAGTGCTTTGAGTACTAGCTGAAAGTTAAAAAGACATCATATAAGTTAAATTCCATCAACCATGGACTAAGTGTTGGTAGGACACAGAATACTAATTAACTTTCTAAAGATCAAAGGAGTAGAGCTCGATAACTTCTACTGCTTCCTGTTCTGATATAGTATGTATAATATGTTCATAGTATATAAATTTATGTTTATTTCATATTGTTGTATATGAAGTCTAAGAATCTTCCAGGATTGTACTTACACCTTTTGTTGTTCTCATTGGACTTGGATTGTGTTTTCTTGTTATTAATACTATACACAGAATTTTTAAAAAATAAAGAAATATTAGCAAGGGAGTCCAGGATTGTATTGGCCACCCCATAGCAAGACGTTTCTAGGTTCTTTTTCTAACTTCGTTTCACTATGGGAATCGCCTTAGCGTAGTGAAACACCTCACTCTGTTATCAAAGAACCAGGGATTACGTTAAGTAACCCAATGTTTTACCCTGTTCAAAGACAAGCTTGTCATGTGAGATGGTGATGTTGAAGTAGATGTTAGTGTGACAGTGTTAGCCTGTTAACACATATCCAGCTATGTCTATTGTTTATGAATAAATCTGAAAACTTTTTGATGATATATTCTCCTCTAGGAGAGCTCTGTAGCTTCTCTGGAGTCTTCCATTCGCTGGGCTGATGGTTTCCTGCTGCTGTACTCCATCACACAGCGCTTCAGCTTCCTGGAGGTCCCACAACTCAAGACGCTCATTGACCAAACCAAGCAGAATCTGGGTGGGGAGATATTTTGATCTGTATGAGAAAACGGCTGCTGAAAACTGAACTAACAGTCTGTTCTTCACACAAACATCAGGCCTCTGTTCTGTCTCTCTTTCACCTTTACATATACACATAAACACACCCACATATTCACAGATTGAGTGGACGTAGATTCCATGTTTGGTTGTGCCACCCTGTCTTCTGTTAGTAGTGTGCTGACAGAATGACTCCAAACTGCGTGCCATAGGGTCATCGTGATGGTTTATTGTCACTTCACTTTGTGTGTCTGTGTGTCAGTGGTTCCCGCGGTGCTGGTCGCCAATAAGGCAGATTTGGAAATCGGCAGGCAGGTGACAACAGACGAAGGACAGAGACTAGCCAAGGATTTAAGGTTTGAGTGCTCATGTTTTCATATGTGCATGGTAATACTGTACAATGCTTTTCTTGTCTTTGTTATACTTGATAATAAAATAACTTTGTCATTGATTAAGAATAATGTCAGTCCAGTCAAGCTGGGCTGTAATCATAAGCTGATACTCTTGTACACAACCAGCTGGCAAATCCCAGCTGAAGCTGTTTTAGCCTGCCCATCTTTGCTGTCCATCTGCAAACCACTTTGCAACCCCAGTGCCCCCTTTTATGCTGTTTCTGACTTAATCCATGCCAAATTTGCTGTCACTGATTCATGCTGTGCTCTGAGCTGGAGCTTCTGCTGTTACTCCCTCTTACTTCATGTATAATGTACACATGGAGGGATGGTGAGGCACACAGCATGTAGTCTACTATAAATTATATGGAAACAAGCTTTTTTTGACTACATGGTCAATATTTTATTAATGAATTTCACATTTTTGTTACAGAATTAAATCTTTATGTATAGTAGTGTATGTATTGGATATCAATTCTGCTCAGCCTGAATTCCACTATATGGTGCCTACAAAGTCTGAGTGCTAAATAAAGTAAGTAAAAACTATTTCCTTGCATGCTAACTAAATGAGCCATTGATTTCGTTCTGTGTGTTTAGGTGTGGTTTCAGAGAGTTGTCTGTGGCTGAAGCAGTCCTAGCAGTGGAAGCAGCAGTGCTTCAGCTCATCAGGTTTGTTTCTTCTGTGTTTTGTCAGACATGTGATATCCATGCTAGTCAGATTTTAAGCGTGTTTTCAGTGTTTCTACTATGAATGCAACATTTTTATTAATTAAATATACTCAAAACAACAGTCAGTACTGCTCCTGATGGACTGCGCCCTGTCACACTGCAATAAACAAAGGTAGTACAAAAGATTTTCTTATAGATGGTGATAGGAAAGATCCTGAACGATACTGGAAAGCAAAAACAATAATTAGACATCTCTCTAGGGTATACTGTTAGAGCCCAGAGGATTTTATGATTCTTTTTCATGTGCTGTTTGATTGTGTGTGTGCCACAGGTTGGTGTTGGATCAGCAGCGCCCTCTGCCTGAACGTCGCTCCTACATGTTGACTGTTCGTCACGCTCTGACCAGGAAACTGACCAGATCTAAGACCATGCAGTGGTGACAACAGCAAACAAACCCCCATGGAAAAAACTGTAGTGTATAATGGGTTGTTTTTTTTTTGTTTTTTTGTTTTTTGCTTTAGTTCTTTTAGTGTTAGATATCTCCCGTATCTCACATCCAGACTGAGAGTTATCATGCAACGTCTGGGTTTCTGGATTTATGGGTGATGAGACCAGGATTTAAAAAATAGAAACTCGCCAGACACTTTTTATTAGTTATCCCTTGATACTACTGGGTTGGAGTCTTTTTTTGTCTTCAAAAATGTCTTAATTCTTCATAGCATACATTCAAAAAGCTACTGGAAGCATTCTTCACTGACTCTTTTGATCCCTTAACATGACAGCATCACAGTTGCAGCAAATTTGTCAACTCTGTGAATCTGTTGCTCCACCACATCACAAATGTGTTCTGTTGGATTGAGATCTGATGACTGTGGAGGCCATGTGAGTACAGTAAACTGGCATGTTAAGGAAACCAGTTTGAGATGATCTGAGCTCTGTCACACATCATGTGTTATGCTGCTATCAGAAAATGAGTTCAGTGTGGTCATAAAGGCACGGAAATGGTTAGCAGCAACAGCAAGGTCTGGTGTGGCATTTAAATAATACATAACAGAAATATCGTTCACCCCATTAAACTACCACTGAATTATCGGTACAAGGCAGAATGTACATGTACCTTTCCAACATACTTTCATGTTAATTGGGCCAAATCAATATTCATCAGACCAGGTAACATTTGTCCAGTTTTTTTGTTGTTGTTTTAAGAGCCTGTGCAAATTGTAGCCTCAAGTTTTGCTGCTGTAGCCCATCTGCTTTGTAAATTCAGAGTTGTAAAAAACGGTTATTCAGTTGACTTCCTGTAAACTCAAATCAGTAAAATCACGTTTCTTTCCCATTTTGATCATGAGATCAAAATGCCCATGTCTAGGCATGTACACAATCAGCTAATCACATGAGTTGCTGCAATACACTTGAGTGGTGTCTGAACTGACTGCTAGAAAGCCTACGACTCAGTGCCCCACATATGGATACTTGTAAAGGCTAATAGTACACTAATAACAACATTTATTCAGAACTTAATGGTCTATAAAGAAAAGGAAAATATTTAAATTAAGTGAATGTCTCTATTTAAAAACAAACAAACAAACAAAAAATTCATGATGTGATATTATAGTATATAGTATATCAGAAATCTGTTCACTATTTTTATTACAAATTATATCAGTAAGGAAGCTGACTAAATATTCACTGATAATTTATGGCAAAGGGGTGGGATTAAATAAGTGTATGCTTCTTCCCACTTCCTTTCAACGTGTAAATTAATCAGAATGGTTTTTTGTATGTAATTTGTATAGTATTTTTTTTCTCTCTTATTTCTTTTCTAAATGTACTTGTATATTGTTCACATGTTGAAATAAATTACCAATCAATCAATCAATCAATGGGACTGTGGAAGACAACACTGGCGACCAGCTCCAATGCACCTACTGCTGTTCTGCATAGGCCTCAACCACATAAGCCAGCTCATCACTGAGAGTGGATCCAGTTATAGATTCAGGAGTGGAGTGACCGTGAGCTACCACCTGCAAATGGATGACATTATGTTGCATCCCAGGAGTGACTGAAACATTAACTCACTGATCTATCTAATGAGGATCTACAACGAGAACATCGGGATTTGATTTGGACTGGATAAATGTGGTCGAAGGGTTGTAAAGAGAGGAGAGGTGATCCAGACTGAATGGGTGGAGCTACCAGAAGGGAGGATAGCAGATATACAGGACATTTACAACTAAATGGGTATCCCAGAGGCCAATGGAAGCAATGATAAAGATGCACAAAGGTTAGCCACAGCCAAATACCTTGAAAAGGTAAGACAGGCCGTGAGAAACCAGCAGAATCCACGCCATCATTCATCAGATACTCATTTGGAATCTGGCCACCAGAGGAGATGGATGCCACTTATGTGAAGACACAAAAGCATTTCACAACACAGAGAGGTCTCCTTCTAAAGTCCAGCCTTTGGCAATAAAGAAAGAATAAGAGATGATTAGAAAGTGTCAGCATCCATAAATACATCTGAAACATCCACCTGAGATGAGCTACTCCAAGAAAGCCTGAGGCAGCTGAAGACAGATGGTGATGAAGTAAAGGAGGAGGAATTGTCATAGATGACCAAGCCCTGCATGGGATGTACCATTGGCAGATTAAGGAAGTAGGTACCAGTGGCTTAAAGTACAGCAGAGAGGCTCTGATCATGGCAGCACAAGAACAGGCCTCAGAAGAAAGATCCATCGAGTCAAAAAACTACCAGATCTGGCCGGACCCAAGCTGCAGACTGTGCAAAGGTGCCCTGAAGACTATCCTGCATAAAGTAGCAGAATGTAAGAACCATGAACACTGACACACCAAGTGGCTGGGATAGTGTACAGGAACATGTCTGTCTCATATGGACCAGAAGTCCCCAAATCCTGATGGGAGACACCCCCAAAGGTAGTTGAGAACAACAGGGCTAAAGTCCTGTGGGACTTCCAGTTAAAAAAAGAGAAACGGCTACTGGTCAACCAACCAGACAGTGATGGTTGACAAGGAGCAGAAGACCACAACTGTGATAGATGTGGCAATCTATCAGCAACATCGGGAAGAAGGAGCATGAGATAATAGAGAAGTACCAACTGGAGCAGATGTGGAAGGTAAAGTCCAAAGTGGTCCCAGTGGTTATAGGCATTAGGAGTGGCTCTAGAGATAATCAGATTGAACTTTAGATACCCTGGAATGATGTAGGATGACTGAAAACACAAATACAATATGTTAATGTTATTAGTCTGGTATGTATGTTTACTAGGTGCAAACGCAAGCGTTTGCATTTATTTTCTATTCACAAAAAACATGTTGTTGGTTTTTTAAATATGTTCCACCCACCAGCAGGGGGCGGTACAATCATTTGGTTTGGTGCAGACATCATGCACAAACATTACATATTTAACCACCCACTTTGGTGTGGAAGGAGTTGAGTGACCCCCACAAAGACCTGACCTCAATCCCTTTACAGGGTTTTTTGTCAGTAAATTGTAAAATCTTGTGGAAAAAACTTCCCTGAAAAGAGAAAGACTAGTATAGCAGAAGATAATGCCAATATCTTTGCCCTGGAAGACTGAAAATCACATATTTATTTTTACAAGGTCATTTTTGTGCTTTAATGTTTTCATTTATAATTTATTCATCAACACTGGAATCCTTCTAGTCAGCAGAGTTCATCAGTGTGTGAGAAACACTTTGACTTGGCTTTGTTGTTGGAGTGTGTGGATGATGTAACAGTGTGTGAAGAATGAGGCTGGCTTTCATTACAGTCTTGGCATTACTCGACCATGTCTCCGCTTTTTCCTATGCATCTCCCCTTTTGTCTGAACTTCTGAACTTTATGATCAGCGAGAGACATCTAAAAAAGGCAGACGGTGCAAAGCAAGACTGTGAGAGACAGAAAATAAGTCAGACTCCAACAGGGAGGAAAAATACTGGGCTTCTTACAGACTTCACTGCTCATACTCACCAATCTATCTCCGGCTATTCATACAGACATAATGGAAAATTGGATATGTGCTTGCTCTCCATCACTCCGCTCTGTCCACTCCGTGACCATCAACTGCTCCACCCAGTTGCCACCAACAAGCAGCCACAGAACCCCATACGCTTTATATATAAACACAGAGATCAACATGTTCAGAGAATTACAGATCTTAGCTTTAAAGTTATAATTAGATTTTCTTCTCATAAACCCTCAGTGTTATCCTGCTTACAGTGAAAAGATATTCAGTTAATGATCATTCTGTGATTACCTGTTTATATTTCTGTCATTGTTACTGATCAAGATGACAGAAGGATTGTTGGGACAAACTGATTTTTCTTGTAAACTAAGGAGGAGCGCATTTTTAAATTTTTAAGTGTTGTGAGTCCAAACGACTGATATGCTCAACTCTCATCTCTCAATACATTACTTGTGGCACTAGTTGGGCATAGATTGTGACATATTGGTCAGTGGGTACGGAGCACAGAACATGCCAAAATTAGAAATAATAATCATCTCAACAGATAAATTATCAGGCCATTATGTGCACTAAAATAATTTTGTAGGCATTAACTCCAATCATTCATTTTCTTCTGCTTATCCAATTCTGGGGCGCTGGAGCAGATTCCAGCTGCCATAGGGCAACAGGCTGGGCACACCCCGGATGTGTCACTGATCTGTCGCATTAACACATGTGGCCCACTTATAATCACAAATCAAAACAACCCCACAGTGCAAACCCCACATAGAGAAAATGGTCAGACGGTGGATTTGACCCCAGGAATTTCTGGCAGTGAGGCAAAACTATGAACCACTCCTCCACTGCATTTCTTGTTGAGGTTGCCTTTGTGTTAACATACATTTGTTTATAAAAGAAAAAAACAAAACAAAAAAAAAACAAAAAAAAAACATACATTTGTTATGATTTATTTTCCCTGTTTGTACCTGTTGTTTCCATTTTTTCCTGTATTATTTTCCTCCATCCATATTCTTAACTGCCTATGCAGTTTATCGTGATGGGGGGATGGAACCTATCCCTCCTGGCAAAGGGCAAAAGTTCAGGTGCACAATTTATTTAATTTGTTTGTTTATGTACCAAATATATTTTCCCTCATTGCTTTCAGTATTTTCACTACCAGCTCTGACACTGTAGTTTAACATCAACAGACTTGAATAAGAAAGTCAGTGATAAAAAAGTATGACTGGATATTAATGAAGATCAGCAGTGGACAGCCTCTCGTGTCTACTGACCATGAATGAATGCGCTCAGGCCTGTTATCAGGGTCAGCAGAGGGAGGGTTAATAGTAATTGCCTGGTAGTGACTGTGTGGTGGAGAGTGGGCACATCATTTACTCACGCAGAGATAAACTGAATGTTCTCTGCCTTTGAGCTTTTATGTCACTGCTCTCCTCGCCTGTGATGCCAACCGACCTGTGTGGATTAGTGACAGAGACAGAGGGAGCCAGAAGAGGATGATGACAGCAAGGAGGTGTGGTGACATCATAACGGTCACCAAGGAGATGAAAGGTCAGGACCCCTCTTCAACTCTGACTCAGAATAGAACATGAGTCATACCTGCATCGTTATAGAAACAGCCAATCACAAGCTGCCTGTCACATACGTTAGCAGATAGACAGCCAATAGGGAAGCATGTGCATTTAAGCAGGCTTTGAGTTTCTCTTAAGTTTGTACTGAGATGTGTTGCTGTTAGACCAACTTAAACTTTAATCACATGTAAATGTATACCTTAAAAGTAAGATTATTCACCTACTTTGAATATATTCATGTTAAATTAAATGTTAAACTTTATTTGTCTCTCACTCTGCTGTTTCCAGGTGAAGTGAACACGTTGTATCCACAAAAGATGTCTCAAATCTGCTGATCAAAGCGAGTTTTTCAGATTTTGCTAATATAATGATTGTTTACATCCATAAGCTGCAGTTTAGAAATATTTAAGTCACTGCTAAGAGATTAGCAGTGATTTGAGATAACAGTGATTTAGATTTGTAATTGATTATCAGAGGTAATCTTCTTTTTTCTTATTATCTGTCATAATTATACTGTGGTTGCTACAGTGGTTGCTAATATTAAATATGGCCAAAGTTTAAGTAAATAATGATGTCAATGTATATACAAGGAATCCTTGTGAGGCAAAACCACGGGCTTCAGGCTGCTCTAAAGGTTCAGTGTCAGCCTTTTTTTTTCTACTCTTAGGTCACTAGGACACCAGTGAGAGGAGATATCCCCAATATGGTCATCTCATACCAGGTCATCTCAGACACAGAGCTCTGGTTGTGAACACAAAACCTCCACCCATCTGCTGTTGTTTTTTCTTTTCTTTTCTTTGTCTTTTTCATTGCCAGAGTCAATCAGGAGATTGACTCTCTCATTCCCTGCAGGTTATCTTGTTTTCAGCTTGTTTTAGACAGAGGAAATAAGGATTTTTTTAAAAAGCACAAAGTCATATAATGGGTCAAGCTGTTTGCTTCTCTTTCACAGGAGCCAAAAACAGTCCTGCAATGGATAGTTTAACAGGCAAACATCCTCTCTTCTTGCTCATCTCTGGTGGAAATGT